AATAATTTTTTGTCTTAGGTTTTATTTGGGGAGGCTTTGTTATGGATTTTTAAAGCATTGTTTTAGTAAAAAAATTTAAATTTTGTATTAGAATGCTATTTTAAGAAAAAAATAAGAAAGTAGTCCCAAACAAAGCCTTAGAAATTTGCTTTATACCTTTTAAGGGTGCTGGGGCATTTAAGCCAATTATGACAAATTTAAGCTACGTTTGTGACAGCTTTTGTACTGTTTTTTAAAACGGTTTTCTAGTACAAAAATTTCAAATTCAAGAAATTTGTGTACTAGAAATCCATTTTAGAAAGCAAGAAGAAATCCATCCCAAACTAAGCCTTATACACATCAATTATGCAAAGCTCGAACCCAACACCTTTTGGTTGGTGGCCGAAGCTCCTAACCAACATACCAAAGTGAGTTGCATATTGATGTTTAATCTGAATACAAGTATGAGTTTTATATGGCTTAACATCCTTCTTCCACTTAAATGTCTAATTAATATTGATAAAATTGGATTGTCCTATTTAAGGAGTGATTGATATTAATTTTTTTTTTATAATTCATGGGATATGTTATTTTATTGGTGGTTTTTTATGATTCTACTCGTTTAGTTAATTGGTGGATTTTTTATTGATATTTCTCATGCCTTCTTTGATATGGTTCTTTGTTGGTTGGGTGATATATATGTGATTATTTGAATCAAGGATAGCTGTGATGATAGGGGGTTCTATGTTGGATATACCAGCTGAACCAGCTAGTAATCCAATCATTAGATCTATGAGTTGATTTTGAGCCAGCACTAAATTAGCTCAAAATCAAATTTTTCTATCCCTGCTAATTAACTAGAGTATTATGAAGAACTCTCAGCATTTAGTAGCTTGACTCCTAATTAGAGGTGTCAAAAAATGGTGTCCTGAACCCAACCCAAAAAAATATGGTTCAGATTGACCTGTTTAATAAGGGGGTTGGGTTTGGGTCCGAATTCCAACTTGGGTCAAGCTCGGGTTGACCCGCTAACCCAATTTGACCTTAAACGACTCGTTTAAATTATTTTGTTTTTTGTTTTTTTCTATTTGTTAGTATGATTACTTTATTATTATATTACTTAATCTAAAACCTATTATTAAAAAGATATTAAAAAAATAAATAAAAAATAGGATATTGGATCAAGTTCGAGTTATTCAGGTTGTTAGCAGGTCAAGTTCAGTATGCATTTTTTACCAGTTTATTAAATGGGTCAGATTTATGTTGATTGAATTTAGATTAGATCGATTTTGGGTTGGACCCGAACCCGTGATGTTGTCACCCCTACTCCTATTGTTGTTGTCAATAACTTTTTTTTTTCTGCCAATTCATTCCAATAAAAACCTCAAATATTATTAAAAAAAATTCTCCTGACCGAGCCAGAAACATAGATGAATAAAATTGTATGCGAACCAAGTTAAAATTAATTAAAATCTTTTTTTTTTGTAATAGAATTTTGTTGCTATTATGTATTATTTTTATACAAAAAGAAGCCACAGTTACTCACATGGAGATGGATGACCTGCTCCACCAACTACCTAATTTGCGTGCTGCTCAGTATTTTCAATTCATTAAAGAGACGAACAGATAATGTACATTGCATATTGGTTGCAGCCTAACAATAAATGCAAGTGAAGATCTTTAACATATTGGGCGGCCCACTCATTCGCTGAAGTTATGGTCCTCATGCAATTTAGAAGTTCAACGTAATTACGTAAACAAAAATATATGCGTAGCTTTTTTTGCTTATTTTCTAAAATCAGAAATTTTATGACCGCATAATTTAGTTCGGGCCAAGGGGGAAGGGCAAGGCGGCGCACATTTATGATTCCAAAAGATGGCGTTAAAAATATTTGGGCATGTCAACGACGTAACTTTAAATTATGTTAACCACTACATAATTCAAAGAATCAATCACAATGGCTTTCACCGAAAACATTTATGATTCTTTGATCATACATCAAACCAAACCAACTCACCAAACATGCAGAAATACAATGCTGCACGTAAATATATAGTATAGTATTCACAAGAAGCCACAACACCATTCCAACCACGATTATATATTACCATCGCATATATTACAAGAGATAAAGCAGTTTAAACTAACCAAATAGAGAATGAAATTCGATCAACTCAGCTGCTGTTGGTGTACTGCCACCTTTGGTTGTGAGTCTTAAAACCACTGTGGAAGTCGAACTACCTCTATCTGCTTTTGGACAACGGCTCCTTAGGGCATCTCCAATCGAACTCCAACCGCTTGAATGGTGTCACTGGCTAGCACTAGCCGAAACATAAATTTCCCTCTATTTGGCTGCGGGTAAACAGTGGGACGCCAATATTGGCATTGCACTGTTCATCTCCGCCATTTTTACCTCACTACCGAACTTGGCGTGGGAAAAAAGAGAGGACCGTTACCTGCAAAAGTGTGAAAAGTGGAGTTCGATTGTAGATTAATCGCGGTATTTTGTAGTTTCATGACATTTTGGAGTGAAAAATAAGATTTTCGGTTGGAGATGCTCTTAGGCTGCATCTAGTGGTATCAATTTCGGGTAACGGGTCAGGTTCAGGTCAAACCCGGAACTGAGGATCATAACTTCAGCAAATGAGTGGGCAGCCCAATATATTAAAGATATTCACTTGCATTTATTGTTAGGCTGCATCCAATATGCGATGTACATTATCTGTTTGTTTCTTTAATGAATTGAAAATACTGAGCAGCACGCAAATAAGGGAGTTGGTTGAGCAAGGTCATCCATCTCCATGTGAGTAACTGTGGCTTCTTTTTGTATAAAAATAATTCATAATAGCTACAACATTTTATTACCAAAAAAAAAAAAAAAAAATCCTCAGTTAGTAAATAATAATTAAACTTTTTAATTAATTTTAACTTGGCTCACATGCAATTTTATTCATCTTTGTTTCTGGCTCAGTGAGGATAATTTTTTTTAATAATATTTGATGTTTTCATTTGAAATGCAATGACGGAAAAAAAAAGAACTATCATTCACAACAACATTAGCATTTAGGAGTAGAGGTGTCAAAATAGGTTAATATCTTGAGTTCGGGTCCGACCCAAAATTAACCTGTCTTGAATCCGATCCATCCTAATCCGACCTATTTAATAAATAGATAAAAAATATAAGTCTGAACCCAACATGTTTAATAAACATGGAAAAATATAGAACCCAACATGTTAACAATTTGAATAACTCAAATATGGCCCGATAACTTGTTTTGATTCTAAAATTTTTTTAATAATTTTTTAATAATAGATTTTAGATTAACTAATAAAAATAAAACATTCATACCATTAAATAAATAAAATTAAAGAAAAAATAATTTAAACGAGTCATTTCGGGTTGGCGGGTTAACCCAAGCCCAACCCAGGTCAGTATTTTGGACCCAACCCAACTCATTTATTAAACAGGTAAACCTAAGCCATAATTTTTTGGGTATATTTCATGGCGAATTATTACGTCCGGTCACCGGACATCCGGACATCCAATCCAGATGCGCCACGTCACCTAAATACACTTGAACCCAGTGTATTTTGATAACGTGGCGCATCTGGATTGGTGTCCGGACGAATCCGAACATCAGATGTAATAATTTGCCCTGTTTCAGATGAATTTGGCGGGTTGTGCCATTTATTACACCCCTAATTAGGAGTCAAGCTACTAAATGCTGGAAGTTCTTCATAATACTCTAGTTAATTAGCAGGGATAGTAAAATCTGATTTTGAGCTAATTTAGTACCGGCTCAAAATCAGCTTATAGATCGAATGATTGGATTACTAGCTGGTTCAGCTTGTATATCCAACATAGAATCCCATATCATCACAGCTATCCTTGATTCAAATAATCACATATATATCACCCAACCAGCAAAGAACCATATCAAAGAAGGCATGAGAAATATCAATAAAAAATCCACCAATTAACTAAATGAGTAGAATCATAAAAAACCACCAATAAAATAACATATCCCATGAATTATAAATAAAAATTAATATCATTCACTCCTTAAATAGGACAATCCAATTTTATCAATATTAATTAGACATTTAAGTGGAAGAAGGATGATAAGCCCTATAGAACTCATACTTGTATTAGGATTAAACACCAATATGCAGCTCACCTTGATATGTTGGTTAGGAGCTTCGGCTACTAACCAAAAGGTATTGGATTCGAGCCTTGCATAATTGATATGCATAAGGCTTTGTTTGGGACGACTTTCTTCTTGCTTTCTAAAATGACTTTCTAGTACATAAAATTCTTGAAATTTTTGTACTAGAAAGCTATTTTAAAAAACAATGCAAAAGCTGTCCCAAACGAAGCTTAACTTTGTCATAATTGACCTAAATGCCCCCGCACCCTTAAGAGCAGTTGTAGAAAGCAAATTTCTAAGGCTTTGTTTGGGGCAACTTCCTTATTGTTTCTTAAAATAGCTTTCTAATACAAAATTTAGAATTTTTGTACTAAAAATTTATTTTAGAAAGCGATAAGAAAGCCATCCCAAATAAAACCTAAGACAATTTTTTTTTTAAAGCACAGAAAAAGTACAATCAAATAGAAAGTATGATTGATATTAAAGTAAAACAATAAAAAAATTATCCCAAATAAAATCTTAGATTTAATAATTTAATGGTATAATTTATTAGTATATTCAGTGGTTAATTTTGAACCGTAAATACTTAAAACTTCAACAGTACAAATGTATATATCTTACTATTAAAATTATGCGAAACTAATAGTTTATTTGAATCATTCTGTTAACTCAATAGCATTGCACATGCCTCGATAATTTTAAAATAATAAATTTTTTTATTAGTATATAAATTTTGAATAACAATTTCGATCACGCAATAGCATGTGAACAGACCAATCATGGTTCATGAATAGCTGAAAATTCGAAAGACCTGAAATTTATCCACTGTAAAGGTTTTTAAATTTTAAACTCTGAGAAGCTGAAGTGGAAATCCATCTCCGCTCCCTCTGTTTATTTTTGCCTTAAAAGCTACAGCACATTGCCCTCTCGCCTCGCCCCGCTCCGCCCCGCCCACCGATATCGCGTTCGGACGTTCTTTAAATACTAACAACGACCAACTCTACGGCGAGGTTGCTTAGCTACGGCGACAGCCGGATCGCTATCTCACACGGCGTGCGGGATTTTGGAGGGAGCCGATTCGCAGCTATTGGTACAAGGTCGAAATCTCTTTTTCTCTCACAGTCTCTTGAAATATAATATAAATTATTGCTTTTTCCCAATCGCGATTAAATGTTCAAGCGACTGCATTTTATTCTTATTTCTAGGAATCCAATGTGTTTTGTAAATGAATTTGAATTTTCTGAGGGATAATGAGATCCGTAGCTTTGTGGAGTGATGGTTCCTTGTAGATTTCTTCACTTGGGGATAGTGTTCCTTCTATCTTTTTTATCTATCTTTCTTTATGGAAAGCTAGGATTTCTCCTAATTTTTTAACTTTGGAAAAGGTATTGAGCTTTGGGCTTCCACGGGTGCGTATTTTTCTCGGATTGCCTTTTGTTATTTATACATAATTTGTTGCGATAATTTTCCTAAATTTGTCCAATCAAAACCTAACTATGCTTTCCGTATAATTTGTTCGTTTTTTTACCCCGCTAAGAGAGAGGAAACGAGGAAAACATAAATGAAGATAACCGATCCTGTTTCCTCAAGTTCTTTCAATTTTTGTAACTTTACAGTATAACTATTATCTTATGCCGAGTTTCCTCTCTCAACATCACTTTATGCGCTATCAAAGCATCTCAATGAGGAATTGCAGTCTGATTCATATCGTGATTTCAGTTAGGTTGATATGCTACAACTGTAGAGCTCTTCTGAAGTCTTTAATATGAAGATGCTTTCCATTGTAAGCTTGTTGGGAGATGCTAATTAGTGATATCTTCTGATTAAACTATTAATTTTGGGTTGGAATACACCATTACTGTTGATCTATTTTCTGATTATTCTCCAGGTTGAAAGATGAATGGAAAGAAGCCATTGTTTGTAAAGGAAGATGGATCAATACATTTGACTTGAGCATAAGTGTGGTTAGAACAAAGCTGCTCGTGGTTTTTTTTTGTAAGCACTATATCTTTTCTGCAAAAAAAAGAAAAAAAAAAAAGCGACTCCTGAATTAAACTCATGGTAATTGTAATCCTATATTTTCTTTTCATTTTGCGAATTTCCTAGTTCTTTCCATCTTTATTTTAATGCAGTTATACACAATAAACTAATGCAATAATTATAGTTGTTAAATTTGAAATCGTTTGATTTTTTTTCAACTAAATTTTTATGACGCACTCTTACTATGTAGATAGAAGACTTTTAAGTTTTAATATAGAAAGGATGTGAGATTTTGTGAAGAAAGTAATTTATTTACTTGGTTTTCAGTTAGCTGCACATTTATCTTAGTTCAGAACTGTGAAATGTCATCCAAAAGGCTTTATATATATTTTGTGATCAATTTGATGATAGGTAACTATTAAGTCATGGAAGAGTGCTAGGAAGAAGCCAAGTGAGGCTCCTATTAAGATGCTAATAGCACAGGAGTGGTCTAGTGCATTTGAGTCGAAGGAGACATCTCCTGGTGTTGTTGCAAAGTTGATGGGTCTGAGTAAACTGCCAATTCAACAAAAAGTTCAAACTCCAAAAAGAAAATTGCAAGAGATTGACACACATGACTATTTGAATAGATCTCCCCAAGACTATTGGCTGCTGAAAGAATGTTCTTGTAATCATCAGATGAACTATAGGAGTGAATGTTGCATGCATGAGAAGTGCAAGGATTTGTATAAGGTAAAGCAACATCTTTCATCAAATGGTCAAGCCAAGAATCATTATCTACAACATGAAGACCGTCATGATAATTTGATGGACAAGAGAATGGCTCTTGTGCACGAAAAGTTCATTATAGCAAAAAGACTAGCTACTAATAAAAAGTTTATCCAATCAAAAGAGTTCAAAGATGCTCTTGAGGTTTTTAGTTCAAATAGAGATTTATTTCTCAGATTTCTTGAAGAACCAAACTCTTTAATTTCCAAACAACTTAAGGAAATTCAACAAATTATTTCTTTGGGATCCCAGACCAAGCGCATTAATGTTTTGAAGCCAACCACATCATTTGATTCAGATCATGACAAATCTATGAGCAAAGACAGATGCGCATGTGGTGAAGAGATCAAAAGAAACATTGATGTACACGGCTGGAGCTCTAGCTTGTCTATTCCCAAGGCTGAAACTAGATCTCAGCCCACAAGGATTGTGGTTCTAAAGCCCAGTCCTACAGCGATTCATGAAACAAAAGCTAATATGGCCTCTAATGTTGCCGTATCAGCTCAAGAAAGTAGACACAGAAGTCGAAATTTGAGAACTGATGATGATATAAGATCAAGAGAACTAGCTATGGAAATCACTCGGCAAATACAAAAAGATATGAAAAGTATGCAGAAGGATGAGTACCCGTCAACCGTATTTTCCTCTACTTTATATCTAGCTGATGACAGTAAACTTATGATGCTTGAAAATGATTGCAGAGAAGAAAGGGGCAGTAACTACAGTGATTCTGAGTTGGTGACTCCAACTTCACCGAATTCTTATGCCCATGTAAAATCAATCAATCCAACCACTGTGACATCCTGTAGCAATCAATCCTACTCAGCTGAGTCAATACAGAGACAGGAAGCCAAGAAAAGACTCTCAGAAAGATGGGAGATAGCAACATCGAGTGAAAATAGTCATGAACAAGCAGACGTAAAAAAGATCTCAAGTACCTTGGGTGATATACTTGCCAATCCTGAGGTGAAGAAAGAAGAAGAGGTGGTTGATAGGCTTGCCATTTCACCTTGGGTTTCCAGTGGTCAAGTACAGGACACGAGGATTGCAGGGACATGTTTACCTACAACTTGGATGCAGGAATCCAGTGAGGACTGTCTTAAGAACATTACAAGGTTGAAGACTCTTCCTGCTTCTGAATGCCAGAAAAAAATTTGTGAGAATGACGAAATTTCGTGTACATCATCAAGCAAATCTATTCTTCTCGAAGAGTCTTCAAATTTGAAAAAAGGGAAATCTTTTAAGGAGAAAGTTTCAAGTTTATTCTTCTCAAGGATGAAGAAATTAGTGAAGGACAAGCCCAAACTATATACTTCAGTGAGTTCTGATGTTAGTTTCCATTCAGCCAGTTATTCATCTATAAAAGATAGCAGGCTATCAAAATCTTCCCATGATGGTATATCTGTTGAGGATACTTCAAAAACTTTGGAGGAAGATGTTTTCCAGGTTTCATCTCCTCCTGTCTCAGTCCATTGTACAGAAAGGCATGGGAAGGTGAGCCATATTCACCACTTTAATTTTAGAATTTTGTACTTGTTTCTGTTAAAACCGAATAATTTCTTTTCATAAATGAGCCTTTGATCATGACTTTAACTGCTGCTGCTGCTTCTGTTTTTTTTTTTCAGGGCATTCGCTCGATTGAGAAAGTTTGGAAATCTGAAATCTCCAGAGAAAATTTCAGTCAACATAGCCCCATTTCAGTCCTAGAAAGGCCATTCCAAGAAGAATTTTCCATTAGTTTCTCTCATTCTTCTCAACATGCAATCACTGACCGCACGGGTAAGCATTAGTAGATTGATTACCCGAGCTTTAAATTTAGAGGTTCTTATCCTTCCACCTTCTAATCTCTCTTTCCCTGAGTTGCAGAAACACTCTCCAGATCCCCACTCATTGGTTCAGTGAGCCGTTCAACTTATTCAGAGAACGCACACTCCGCAACTCTGGCAGCACCAAACTCCCTAAAGCTTTCCAAGCTTTTCTCCAAAGAAGACAAAGAGGAAGAACAACTTGGTTTCATCCATAAGTTAATTTCATCTTCAAACTTAGCAAATGAAAGCTCCACCACAGTATTAGCCAAATCACACTCTCTGGATTGTCCATTAAATCCAATTCTGCTTGATAACTTATTGGAAAGGGAAGGAGAAGAAACCAAATACAGAGAAAAGCGTTCAAACCAGAAGCTATTATTCGATTATGTCAGTTTCTCCCTCAAAGAAATTGGATATTCTAGTTTAGTTAATGCATATCCATGGAACACAACAACTACTATGGCTCGGATGAAAACTAATCCTACAGTGACAGATGCAGTTTTGTGCCGTGTGAAGGACTGCTTTTCTGAGGAAGAAATTTGCACATCAGCTGAAAATAATAAGCAATTTGTGGATTATTTGGTGAAGAAAGAGGTGATAAGAAGTGGATTGGCTGAACCCATATGGTTGGAAATGGATGATTTTGGCAAAGAGATTGGTGAAAAGATGCTTGACGAGTTGTTTGATGATGCATTAGCTGACCTAATTGGGTGTTGTTTGAGCTGAGTTTTCTCAAATTTTTTGTCCTCTTGTACATAGTGATAGTTTGGTACCTCTTAATATTGCCATATATAGGGCAAATTATTTGGTGGGGAGTTCGGACTCCAATTAAATTTGTACACGTGTATACGGACACGTGGATATTTATTGTGCTTTTTGTAAGGAAATTTTTTTAGAAATTTAAAACATGTAATTTGCTATCATTTTGTTGCACTTTCACTTTTATTGCGTTTTTGCAGTCCTTGCATTTTTGCTGCGCTTTCACTTTGATGCGCATTTGCAGTGCTTTTATTTTTACTTCCATTCGACGAAAAATAAAATGATCTAAAAAATGAAATCCAATTAAATCTCCACGTGTCTACTACATGTGTACAAATTCAATTGGAGTCCGGACGTAGTGCTACGTCCGGACTTCTTCGCACCAAATAATTTGCCCATATATATACTCTGAGTTTATAGTATGTTAGATTTGTCTAGCTGTAATGCATGTGTATCCGTTTGGCTTTCTATTGTTTTACTTGAAATTATTTGGCATTTGCCTTGGTTTTTAATGTATATAAGTAGCTTTACAGCTGCAGCTGTATGCTGATTTGATGAACTACTTCAATTATTTCTATCGGAATATTTTTAATTCTGTAAATTAAAATGTGGCTATTGATTCACACACGACAAAATAACATATTTGATTTGTATATTTTACCCATTTATTTTATTTGAGGATAGAATAATTTATCTCCAAGCGATTTATTTAATAATACGGTCGTTATTATATGTAAGAAAACAATGTACGCAAAAGCAGTTGGCCAATATAAAACTTTTATTAACGTGAAATAAAGATAACGTTCTTTGGTAATTTTATGAAAAGAATGAGTTGGTGGGAGCTGCGAGTACAACGAATAGTGGTTAACATAATTTAAATTGCGTCGTTGACATGCCCAAATATTTTTAACGCCATCTTTTGGAAGCTTGGTTCAGGTAACTAGGGGTGTCAATTTTTGACACAACTCAAAACCCGATCAGGACTCGACCCGAAAAAATCCGGGTTAGGGTCAACCCGAACCTGAACCTGAAACGAGTCAGGTTCGGGTTAAACAAATCAACCCGTTTCAAAAATTGGGTCGGGTTCGAGTTGACCCAACAATTCGAAATTGACTTGAAAACTCATTTTTGACATGAAAATCCGAGATTGACTCGTTTTTTTTCCCAAAAATTGAAGACTGACCTGATTTTGACCCGAAAACTAGCAATTTTGGGTCAACACCGGGTCATTTGTGTTGGGTCAGGTTGACCCAAACCCGAATCAGGTTGTGTTCGAATCTGAAAAAATTTGACTCGTTTTTTAAAACGGGTTAGGCTCAGGTTAACTCGAATAGTGCTATTTGAGTTCCAAATTCGACCTGAACCCGACCGTGACCCGAAATTGACACCCCTAAATATGACTAAGGTTTCATTTGGGATGACTTTCTTTCTGCTTCTTAAACTAAATTTTGAGTTCAAAAACTAAAAAACTGCTTTAAAAAGCAGAAAGAAAACCGTCTCAAATGAAACCACTATTTGTTTTATGTCAGTTATGCACTGTTTTGTCCTCAGATGTAATTTAAATGAATGGCATAATATATATTACGAAGTAACCACATAAACAAATGTTTTATAAAGAAGAATGTTGTAATTTAACTTATGTCAATTCTTTTGGATTATATCTTTGAAAAAGTAATAGGCAGCTTGAAATTACTCAGACAAAATAGCCATATGACAAAAAAAAAAAAAATCCTGAACTTAACATTTGGTCATATAACTATTTGTTTTATGCGAAAAATAAACATATCTATCTTCAACAACTTTATAATTAACTGATGGCAATACAAATTTAATGACAATAGCAAACAAAGTACACGAATCCATCATGGCACAAAAAAATTTGATGTGTGAGTGCATAGGAGAAAAAAAATAGATGATCAAATAATAATAATAATAATAATTATTATTATTATTATGGAATAGGGATATCTACTTGTTGACACTCCTCCAAAGGGAGCGTTTGACAGCGTAACTAATCATTTGGCGGAACCTAGCGAGGCCACCCACCGTCATCGGACCCACACTTGCTTTGCCCTGCTGAAAAGACAAAGCCGTAGTAGAGGAGATTCGAACCCGGGATGGAAGATTCCCAGCCGAGCTCGCCCCCCAACAACCCTAAGCCTCAGTGGGTATCAATTTTAATTATTAGATTTATTTTAAGATGAATATTATATAAATATTCGTTGATTCAATAATTTTAATATTCAGCTAACCAAAATTTGATAATAATGTTCTACTCCAAAATTGTCTGGACGGACATAAGTGATCTCATCAATACAAAGCTACAAACCACATCAAAAAGACAAGGGAGCTATCCGCGGGGCCATGAATGCAGCAGCCTAAGGAGCTGTGGTCCAAAAGCAGATCGAGATAGTTAGGCTTCCACAGTGGTCCTAAGACTGACAACCAAGCTTGGCTGCCATTGATGTAGAACTCTGTTTTCTCCCACGAAATGATGAATCAAAGAATCAATCACAATGGCTTTCACCGAAAACATTTACGATTCTTCGTTCATACACCAAACCAAATCAACTCACCAAACATGCAGAAATACAATGCTTGCACGTAAATAGAATAGTTTTCACAAGAAGCCACAACACCATTTCCCACCACGATTATATATTACCATCGCATATATTACAGAGATAAAGCAGTTAAACTAACCAAATAGAGAATGGCATTCGATCAACACAGCTGCTGTTGGTGTACTGCCAACTTTGGGTCCCCAGCATTGTACGTGATATGATTTGGGTTCAGTCCATACTGCAACCAAAATAGAAGGTAGGAGAGGATGAAAAGGAGAGGTATTGATAAAGGATTCATAGGACCAGCTGGGTTGATTTGTGCTACACATTGAAGAAATATTAGTACTGCTTATAACTATTGCAGTAAATAGGTCGGGGGCTCAAACTAAATTATGCGGTCATAAAATTTCTGGTTTTGGAAAATAAGTAAAAAAAGCTGTGCATATTTTTATTTTTGTTTACGTTGAACTTCTAATGCTTCCTTTGGGACAACTTTCTTCTTGTCTTCTAAAACAACTTTCTAACACAATAAAAAACTGTTTTAAAAAGCAGTAAGAAAGCAATTCCAAACAAAACCTAAATTGCATGAGGACCATAACTTCAGCGAATGAGCGGGCAGCCTAATATAAAAGAGAAAAATCAAGATAGAAGCTTTGTTTGAGACTGCTTTCTTATTGCTTCTTAAATCAGGTTCCTAGTACAAAAATTTTAATTTTTGTATTGGGAAGCTGCTTTAAGAAACAGAAAGAAAGCCAACCCAAACTAAACAAGAGTTGATAAATCAATCTATTAAGAGTTGAAAGATGGCAGGCAAAATCTAGATTCTTCAGAATGAGCGCATATAACACTAGAGTTCAAATAATATTTTCCAACCAATAAGTTCTATGGTTGAAATATGATGGAAAAGTTTGTAGTTGCTTGTTAAAATATACTAAAACATTAAAGATCTTCACTTGCATGTATGTATGTATGAATATATTGACGCATACAAATTTATGCATGTGCGTGGAATGGTAATGCTTGTGTGCAAGGATGCATACATTCATGCCAATTGGATTAAAAAAAATTATAAAATTAACAGGATGATGTATCCATTCTTATACATATTTAAAATCAATTTTATCCCAAATAAGTTTCCATGCATAATTTAAAATAATACTGCAGAAAAAAATAAATAGTTACAATGCTACAGCAGCACACAATATCATCACTAATTGCTAGCCTTATTGAGACTAATTTGACTGATTTTGTGAATTTCTCAATCTCTATTCAATCTTGTTGAAGCTACTTCAAGGGTTCCATAAGTTCTAATCCTGTTATCTTCAATCTACTCTTCCTTCTTTCTAGACCTTCCAGTCTCATTTTATCCACCCAACTTAATTGTGCATTTTTTATCCTCCATTAACATGCAAAATATCACCAAAATCTATTTTTTACTACATTGACTTCCATTAACTCATATAACTTCCTTCATTGACAGTTTCACAATTCATATTTTCTAGCTTTTTCGAACATTCATTTTAACATTCTTATTTCGCCTTCACTTAACTTATTGTTCCATCATACATAGCTATAGGACCTTTAAAATAGCTTAACATAACACCATTTTTTCTTAATGTGCATGAAATCGGCTCTTGCAGCGCTCAATAAATCTCACAGGAAGGAAAAGCATCGTATGAAATTTCTCTTTTTTATACTTTCAACTGATTACCTTCGTTCAAAAATTGGCTCCAAATTTGATCTTCTTAACATAATCCTAATTGATTTTTCAAATCGAAGGGGTCTAGTTTAATCTTTGAATTAGCCAACTATTCATTTCCATATCCTATTTTTATGGCAGAAACAAGTTTCAATTCAACCTATCTTGTTGATTTTAAATATGAAGGGCATTCCAAACATTTAACTTCTTCAACCCTTGTCTTCCTGGTCTGTGTAAAGCTAATGCAAAGAAGAGAGAGAGAGAGAGAGAGTGACAAATGGAGGATGGTGGATTGCCAGAGAAGTTAATAATAGAGAAGTGGGGTAGTAGAAAAGAAGGAGATTAGAGTGGAGAGTGGGAAAAGACGGGACTTGGGCCAATGTATGTACTACATTTTTTTTTATACAAATAAAAATATCATAATTTAACATGAACTAAAAAAAATTCAGGCCAGCGGGGGCACGTGCACCCAGTGCCCTGATTGTGACTCCGCCGCTGATTATCCCCCAAAATTTTATTATATGACTAATAAGTTTGAATTTCTTATAATTATTATAATCATAAATTTCTAATTTACTCTTAAATATCAGTACACACAATTTTCTTCTCCTTTACACAAGTTTTAAATACTCTATTGAAAAAAATTTGTTAACAAAACTACTCCAGTACATCCCAGAACGCTAAAATCTTAAAAAGTATTCATCCGTACAAAAAACTTTATCTTTAAAGATCTTTTTAAAGTTTATGCAACTTAAACTTGTTTAGATCAATCTTACAATATATTTCAAGATTCTAATTCGTAATGCTTTCTTAAAAGTACTTAGTCATTAAAATATAACATAATAATTTTTTTTAACATAACATTTTTCATTTCAACTTTCGTTGATGTTTTCATATTTAACATTTTAAATAATAAAAAAATATGATAAATTGACTAATCCCATTTGTTAAACTTTGAAACTTAAATACTTCTTTGAAAAATGTTGACCCTTGCACATCAGAACACACAAAAAGAGGCAGAAACCGGCAAATTAAGCGACCCGTGCGTCGGCCGGCGTATTACTTGAAGGGCCAAATAATCTCTAATTGCCGAATGGACTGTGCCATTGTAATTAGGATGTCAAATTCCCATACGGGAGAATCCCTCGCAATCAAATCGAACGAGATCGATCAAAAGGGACAAAGAGGCACCCGAAATTGATGTGCGACATTGCCCTAACGACGTTCGATCACAAAACGGACTTCGTCGTTGCACTCAGAACGTTATCAATTCTCAAAAATCACTATTTATTTGTACATTTAAAGTCGCGCGAAGAAATCCGCGCGCATTATGAAGCAACGAATCGCAAATCGAGAAAATTGACGCACGATGTTGCCTAAACGACTCCGATCGAAAAACGGACTTCCTCGTTGCATTTGGGGCGTCATCAATACCCAAAGTGAATTACCAGCAAAATTGGAAAATTTTGAATCAACAGTGCACAAATCGATAAATCAACATGCAATTTTCAAGGCGTGCAAATTTATGTTTCATTCCTATAATTTTAATAGTGATAATATCATTAATATTGTAATAATAATATTAATATTAATATTAATATTTTATTATTATTATTATTATTATTATTATTATTATTATTATTTTATTTATATAAATTAGTTAAAATAAAATCAAACAAAAAAAATATTACCTCGTTTCCGCCTTGATGCTAGCTCTGATCAAATCCCTGAAATCCAATTAAATCCTCGGACGTCTACTCGGGTCTGTTCCTATAAATCCTGTAGCTCACCTCGATCAAATGCCACCCTCGTCGTTAAAACGGAGCTGAAGCTTTGTGTTATGTTCTTCGGTTTTTCTTCCATGCTAAACGAGCTTCCTGTTATTTCCCTTCCTCGTAGTTGAACAACCCGCTCTCATCTCTTTCTCTTTGTTCGTCTCCAACACCTACTATGACGCCGAAGCCAGCCTGATCTCTCCCCTTCATTTGCATATATCAATCAAATACTTCCTCCCCCCTCACATTGTTGTACCGATCGTTCGAACCTGACACCAACAATGCCTGGATTTGTCGTCTACACCTGCTCTAGCCCCGATCTCCTACACAACACCTCTCATCAACTCCAATCGACCCAACCCACAACCTAGCCAATGCTGCCAGTGCCAACAACCCAATTTCCTCCTAGCCGTGACCCTGACCCGTCCGAACTCCATAGCAAGCGGACCCTTCGAACTTTCCTTGAGGTCGATTCCTCTTCCTCTTGTCGCTAAAGCAAACATAATCTATCCTACGTGCACTCCACCTCCACACCTGCTGCTTCGTTTCACACCCAAATAGCCCAAACATCAGCCCATTTTAAAAACCCACTAAACCTCTTCTCTCTACCACAGACCTAAAGCCCATTCCACCTACACATCAGTGGCCCAAAGTCCACTCCATTCAATCCTCTCCAACTCATCAACAACCCACTTAACTAGATCCAAAGCCCAGGCAGTAAGATTCTTTAATGACAACTCAAGAATATGCTAGAGATAACTTGATCATTGTTCATGCCGTCTAAAATTTGTGTGCATGCATGTGCAAGTGTGTATTATATATATATATATATATGTGTGTGTATGTATGTGTGTGTGTGTGTTTATATCTATTTGTATCTAAAAAAAATTCAAAAAAAATAAAATAAAATAAAAGAAAGAGGGGAGGAAAATAATTTAAAAAAAGAGAGGACTTTGTATACTTTTTGACTTCATCAGCATCATCGTCGTCACTGCCAGTCCTCACGAAGGTATAATTTTTACAACTCGTAATCCTGCATTCGGCGTTTGCGATGCGCCGGAGATCCCCCATGCACGCTTTTCTTGGCGTCGTGGGAGGGAACTCGATGCATCGTTTACGACGAAGCTGACGAGCCTTATGCACGTTTTTTTTAGCATGGTGGGACTATAAATACCCGTATGCGCCTCAGTGCAGGCGGGGGAAGAATTGTGAGCCTTCAAACAGGTACCTCCGAAGACACATGTATGTTTTTCTTAGCGTGGTGGGATTGAACACCACGCAAACGGTGTTGATATACCAGCACCAACGAAAGAAGCTACTAATGAATGTGATAATCCAATAAAGAGCTCCGGAGGAATGTTATAATTCATTAAAGGAACAATATAATTAAAGTTAACAAATTCATTATGCATGTTGCAGATCACTCTCAAAGGCGACAAAGAACTTGCAGTGAACAAATCTTCAAACACGAACTTGCAAGTCGATATACCAAACTCTTGCAAACACAACTCACTCGAAATTCCATGCATTGGGTGACTTTAAATAACTGCAATAACTACAAGGATGAGCAATGAACATGACAACTCGACAGTCGACGAGCAATAAAAAAAGTTACTAGTGGACGCCCAATTAGTAGTCAATAACCACTCATAAATGAATATATCGACTCGCATGCAAATGACGACAAACAAAGTGTACTATTCACACAAGCCTTGCAAGGAGACGTAGTAGTCTCTATTATATCCACCTGTAGATATTTATGAA